CTGGCAATGGGACAAGAATAGACGCTTTTCTATTTATAGTGCTTACTCTAGGATTATCGATAGCTGGGATAATGCTGTTTCGGATGTATGGCGTGGTCTCTCAAATTACAGAGGTCTCCCTCGAGTGCGGATGATGTGTTGGCTTATTAGTAAGCAAAGGCTTATGACGAGTGAGGAGCGTGTTCGACGTCATATGTCGGCTTTTCGGGTTGTGGGTACTGTGGGGCAGCTTCTAAATCGATCTCTCATATCTTCCGGGGTTGCAAAGGTGCTACTGCCATTTGGACTGCTCTGATAAAACCCGATTGGCTTGGAGAGTTTCTTAGCATGGAGATGACTGAATGGATTCATGTTAATATTCAAGGTAATCGAACATTTCCAATTAACCCTGAAAATTGGGATTTGATGTTTGGATCTATCCTATGGTGTATCTGGACTCGACGGATTAAAAATACCTTTGATCCAGAAGCGGTTGACGGGGAGAGTGTGGTTGGTCGAGGCCTCCAAATGTGTTCCGAAGCTTTACATACGTTTGCTCAAAGGAATGCCCAGCAGAATGTTGCTCGCCTATCGTGTGGAAGTGTTGTTTGGAAGCCTTCCCCGATTGTTTGGTTTAAAATCAATACGGATGGTGCTGTAAACCGACTTCGGGTTTATCTGTTTGTGGAGGGATTATTCGAGATGCTGCTGGCCAGTGGTTGTTTGGTTTTACGAAGGCTCTTGGTCGGTGTTCAGTTTTGGATGCAGAGCTCTGGGGTCTCTATGAAGGTCTGCTTGCAGCGTGGGAATTAGGTTTGGAAAATGTTATTGAAACAGATTGCAAAGCAGCCTTCGAGCTGTTGCGACAAGGAAAAGAAATGGAGAGTCTCTCTCACATTGTGCCCCATTTAGTGGAGATACTGTCTCGTAACTGGCAGGCTCGTGTTGCTCATATCATGCGCGAAGGTAATGGTTTAACGGATGGGTTGGCGAAGATGGCCTGTTCGCAGCCGTTTGGAATGAAAAGCTTCCTGCAACCTCCATTGGAGATTAGTTCGTTGATTCACGGGACATGGAATCTGTCGCTGGATTCTTGTCTGCTTAGTAGACTGTACTTTCCTTTGTATTCAAAAAAATAAATTTTATATTATTTAAATTATTTATATATATTTTTATAAGGATAAAGTATATAAATGATCCCGACCATAAGATATTGTTTTATTAAGCCTTTTCACCATTAAAATTTATAAAATGGTTAATCGACTATAGAGTGTTGTTTTATTGAGTTCCTCAATCATCTAGTCAAACATGAAACCAGAAACTACTTTATAATCCATTTAACTTAATAAAAAAATAATTATAAAAATATTTAAATTAAAATTTATTTTATTATAAATATTTATAATTAAAGTTAAACATAAATTCAAAAAATTTATCCACTACAATAAAAGAATTTTAAACCAATTGTGAATTGTAAAATAATAATTTTCAACTCAAATAATTTATTTATTTTTACTGAACTTTCAAATGTTGTTGGCATTGTATTTTTATTGCGCCCAAAAAGTAATAAAATAAAGGGTAAACTACTCCAATGGTCATTAATGTTTAGTAAGTTTTCGTTTTCACCATTGATGTTTCAAAAGTTACAAATCAATCACTAACGTTATCGTTTGTTACAAATTGGTCACTCGTCGTTAATAGGCATGACGGAAAACACACGTAGCCTGTTAACAGTAGTTAACAGGCTTACCTGAATGATATAATTACACAAATAATTCATGTTATTTATATATTCTTTCGGTTTGATCTTAGTTTTAATAATTTAAAATATATTTATTTTTAATTCTTATAAATAATGATATATTTGAAAAAAAAGAAATCAAAAATTTAAAATTAGTTATAAAAACAAAAAATTAACGTTTTTTTAATGGTAGGGTAAACTAATAAAAACAAAAAATTAATGTTTTTTAATAAAATTAACATTTTTTTCTTCCCCAATTTTTTTTAAATTAATGCTAATATTAAAATCTTGTTTTTGAAGAAATTTTTTTCACTCGGTGCATAAAATTTTTTAAAATTAATTTTATTAAGTTTTTCATTTTTTGAATAGTATTATAATTTAATTTGTCATTAAATCTTTTAAATTAAATTTTATCATAACATAAATTGTAAATTTAATTATTATTATTGATATGATGAAAAATTAATAAGCACATAGGTCGTGAAATTGTTTAGAGAATGGACCGAACTGCATTCTTAGTGACTCGTGATGATATCATCGGTGAATTTTCAGAGAGCTTTGTAGATTGGGTAACTAATGGAGATTTTCTTCTTCTGATAATCGTCAAGTCGAACTAGTTCGTTATATGTTCGTAATAGAATTCATTTCAACCACAAGAAGAAACAAATTGAATCCATTCGAAGGATAAATTCGAGATAATAAAAATAAATCGGCTGAAGGTCTGGCTTCTGCTCGAGGAAAAGAAAATTTCCAGCTCGTGTTATATCCGATGATACGACCACATTTGCTTTAATCACGATGGATTCATTAGGTGGTGTAAATTGGTGTCTATACCTAATTTATTTTGGAGCTCCGATTGCCTCTATATGGAAAAAAGTCATAGGGATTTCGATTTCTAATGCTTGTAAATATTTCATAAATAGATTTATGTTGTCTTATTGAGAGCCCCTTAACATTATTGGTATTCCTGTATTTCCTCGTGCTTCGGTATAAAATCTTTTTGGGAAATACATAAATGTGCATTCAAAAATTTATCATTTCATGTTATGAAACTTTTGTCTGGTATATTATTATTAGCTTGAATATTGGAATTTTATATTTTCGTATCACTTCAAGTAATATTAAATTAAAATTTTGGACAAAAATTTACTTGGAAATTAAGATTTTTTTTCTTGAATCATGGAAGAGGGAGGGGCTTAAAAATTTACTTGGTGCCGATGATATCATCACGAGTCACTTCGGATGCAATCCGATCCATTCCCTAAACAATTTCACGACCTATGTGCTTATTATTTTTTTATCATATCAATAATCATAATATCATCACGTTAATTTTTTTGTTTTTATAAATAAAAAATATTTAATTATTTTGTATAAAAATATATCATTATTTATAAGAATTAAAAATAAATATATTTTAATTTATTAAAACTAGGATTAAATTGAAAGAATATATAAATAACATGAACTATTTGTGTAATTATACCATACAAGTAACAAGCCACATTTATTTTCCGCTGTTAACGATGAGTAACCTATTTGTAACAAACGATAATATTAGTGACCTATTTGTAACATTGGAAACATTAGTGGTGAAAACGAAAACTTAGTAAAATATTAGTGCCAGTGGAGTAGTTTACCTAAAATAAAAAATGCATATATACAACACATCACCATCAGATTCGCCTCTTCTGCATCTCTCTAATGACTGTTTAGATGAGTCGTCTCTACATAACACGACGACTCTGCTCTGAATTCCAAGCCTTTTCTTTGTTGTTCCACCTGTTTCACTGACATTTATCGAGTTTCCCATCAGCTCTTTATATTCCCTTTTCCCCTAAATTTTCATCTTTGTTCTTTAAGGCTATTGCTTTTGCTTCCAAACACTGATTTGGGTCAGAAATTTTTTATAGGTATCAGTATCTGGATTTTCCCTTCTATTGAACTCAACGATTTTAATTGTTGAAGATTGATGTTTGTTCATGAATTTTGCTTATAAACGTTGTTATTTTATTGCTGCCCTTTGTTTTTCAGGGTGAATCCTATCTTGGCACCTTCTTCTGTGTTTTGAATTTGATTCTATTTTGCTGCAAGTTTTGAATCCCAAACTGGGGATTTTCTCTCTTCCGAGGTATTTTCATCTTTCTTTTTGTTGGTTTTGTTTCTGTTTATGCTTAATTGTTTAGATAAGCAAAAATAGATTTTGTGGGATGTAGAAATAGAATTTTCTTGGGAAATGTTTTGAGTTGAAGAAAAGTTAATCATGTTAGGATTATATTGTTTGATAGCTATTGCTGGCATAATTAAACTGGGTTTTTTTCCTTGAAAGATGGACACGTGAATATCCGTATAGATTCTCTATCATCCCCTTTTCTGTTTTAATTTTTTTGCCTTAAAAATTATGAACCTTGAAGCTTTTTGTTTTTCTATTTTGCCCTCACCTTTGATGTTGCTGATGTTGCTTTGTTGTGAATGGTTAAAGATATGTGAGCATTATTAAATCATACATGCTTTTTAACTCTTACTCAATGGTTGTGGGTTTATCAGAGGTTTTGAGTTCAAAATCATACTACAAATCTTTTTCAGACACTGTTTTCAAGCTCAGTTCCCAATTTTGAGACTTAATCATGGTTTTAGCTTAAGTTTTCTCGTTGAATTGCTTTCTCTTTCTTTGTTGGCTACAATTGTGAAATGGTTTTTCTATTTTCTTCTTGCTGATCGAGGTGTGTAGCCTCCCGTATTCTTCTAGCATTTATTTTTTCACCTCGACTTTTTGTCTACCCCTCACTCTCAATTTGTTTGGATACATTATCTATTTTCTGTAGTAGTAGTTCTTAATCAATTATTGTTGGCTCGAAGCTTCTCATAGTATGATCGTGAAATCCAATGAAATTGTGCATCCGAAAACTTGAATCTGCAATCTTAAGTGTCAGCATCATTTTTATTAAATATTCGAGATGCATTTTTGAATATCCAAGATGCTTAGTTATAACAAGTCTCGGAGTGTTGAAATTCAATCATAATTTGAGATAACTGGACACTTTCCATTTGTATCTATGGAATTTAACTTTGAATCCATTTTTTCTTTCTTGATTGTTTTAATCTTTTTAGCACGTGTTTCAATAGAGGTAGCTTTGATTTTGGATGTGTTTTGCTTGGTAGTTGTATGAGATATACAATCATGGTTATTAAAAAATTTCTTCCAAACTGTTGCTGCATGTTTTAAGTTTAATTTATTTCTGGAGAATCCTTATTTTTTGACCATTGATTACTTTTTTAGGGGAGATCATTAGAAAGTAGTAATATGGGGGCCTCTGCCTCAAAAGTAGAAGAGGATCAGGCCCTGCAGTTATGTCGCGAAAGGAAGAAATATGTTCGTCAGGCACTTGATGGAAGATGCTTACTGGCTGCTGCTCATGTTGCATATATTGAGACACTGAAAAGTTCAGGCACTGCTCTTAGGAAGTTTGTTGAACTTGAAGCTCCAGTTGAGTCTTCCCTTTACACTTCAACTAATGCTACACCAGAGCCCCTTGCTTTAGCCGAAAAGTCTCTTTACCAGTTTTCATATTCTCCTCCGTCTTTCTCACAACGTGTTGATGCAACTGAAACCTTTTCTCCATCACCTTCTCCTCCCACTTCCAGTCATTTTCAGGTGAACCGCATGAGGTTTGGGGTTACATCTTCGAGAAAAGTCAAAGAGAAACCCCCTGTTCCTAATATCAGATTGGTAACCTCATCAAGTACTCCACAGAATACCACCCCTTGTTCCACTGAAAAACCAGAATCATCACCATTTGATACTTCTTCGCCGCCAAGAACTCCAGAATGGGATTTCTTTGGCCTTTCGCATCCAATTGACCGTCAGTTGTCTTTTCAAGAAGGGAAGGAATTGAACCAAGGTCCAGGAACCATCGACGATTTTAGACGACATAGGGAAGAGGAACTTCTTCCAAAGCTGGAAGATGAAGAGGGGGCTTCTTTACATGAAAGAGAAGAAACTCAGGGTTCAGATGATGAATTTGACGATGAGCCTCCTGCAGATACTCTGGTTCGAAGTTTTGAAAACCTGAACAGAGTAAATGACAATAAAATAGCCAATGTACCATCAGATATCCCATCTGTTGGTAGTGTAGCTTCAGAAACTGATTTTGTCAGTAGGGAAAAAAACAGTTCTCCTGATTTGTCTCCATTACAAGGGACACCCCGCGGCTTTTCTGTTCCAACTGAAATAAAGAGAACTCCTGTCAAAGAAGAGGCTTCTGAAAACGAGGTTGCCCCTAAAGATTTCTTTTCTGTCATGAAAGATATTGAGTTTCTCTTTGTAAAAGCTTCTGACTCTGGGAAAGAGGTTCCTAGGATGCTTGAAGCTAATAAGTTGCATTTCCGTCCTATTTTTCCTGGAAAAGGTCAGATCCAGACATCATATCTTTCTCACTCACATATGCATGTCCATCATCACACACACACTGTAAATCTTGTGTATGTTTGGTGTCTCATCAGGGCTGGAAGTTATGCATAATTAAGAAGTGGTTTATCTAGTGAGGAAGGGCATTATTGAGTTTTGCAATTTTTATATTGTTTATAATTCATCTTTGTGTTAGAATTGATTTTGAATCTATTTGGTTATATTGATTGAGATGTGAAAAATTGGTAAAACGATTACGAATTTATGGAGATTTATGGAGAAATTTCCATTTTATTCAGTTCCATTGAAGGGTCTTCATAATTGGTTATCTTATATGAATTTGTTGAAAGCTATAGGTAACAGGACTTTCTACCATTTTAGGTCGATCGACGGCATCTTCAGAGCATTCTTCTCTTGTGGAGAAGATCAAAGCCAAGTTAAAGAAGGTAAATTTCCATTCCCCATTTTTTTCGTGACAGAGTTGAATCATTTTGAGTTCCTTAAAATGTAGTGCCTGTCCTGTGCATTTTTGTTCGGTAGTGACTGGTGGTTGTCTGTAGCAAATAACATATGCTTGGCAGACAGAGCTAAGAGCAAATGTAACAAATGGGTTATGTTATCATATCTTGAAATCATATAATGCAAGTTGGAAGAGCCATATTTGATTTTTTGAAGAAAAACAATGTAAAAGTGATAAAATGACATACAAAATATGCTATTGCCTTGAAATCATTTCATGAAACCCTTGCACAATGAAACCATGAGCAGCTGGAAGTGACTGCTTTGCCAACTTTTTGACGGGAGACTACGAGATGCTTTTTTTCTTTCAATTGCAGGCTATTTTTGAAGTATACATTTCGCAAGAAACACATTAATATGAAAGGATGACAAAATGACATGCAAAGTATGTTTTTGCCTTGAAATCCTTTTATGAAACCATTGATGATGTAACTTTGAGGGGTTGAATGTGACTGACTGCCAACTTTTGAAGTGTCTGAGATTTTATATCTTTTCCTAATGCATATTATGTTCCGTTTTCAAAGAATACATTTTGCTTGAATTAGTTGCAAGTGTCTGTCATGTTATGAAGTTGCAACAAGTGGAAGAATACAACAGGAAATTTCATATATCTAAAGTGCATTAAAGGGAATATAATCAATATGGAATTATATGAACAATAGAAGTATGTAGATGGCAATTGTGGAAACAGCTTTATATAAGAAAACTTATTCAATTTAAAATGTATGCAGTGGGATCTAGGGCTAGTTCTGTCATGGTTTACCTTCTTAGAGATTTTAGTTTATTTTTTGTTCTTGATTCTTGGTTCCAGATGCTTATGCTAATCCTTTCTTATTTTTACTTAGAGCTTCCTCAAAGTGATGTGAAGTACTTGGCTTGGCATAGGACAACGTCATCTCAATCATCTTCATCCAGAAATCCTCTGGAATTAAATTCAAAGGATGATATTGAGGACCTTAACAACAATCTTTTCTATAATGGCTGCATGATTTCAGGCAGTCATGCCTCAACCTTGGATAGACTATATGTGTGGGAGAGGAAGCTATATGATGAAGTCAAGGTATTATTTGTTTTTTCTTTTGCTTTTTGTTTCCCTTCCTGATATTTTCATTTCTGTTTATGAGCCTTCTGTTTTGACATTTAATCCAAGCTTAGGTGAAATACAATATCCCAAGATAAATTCAATGTTTTGGTGTTTTAATATGGTAGAAATTGAAACAATTGTATGGAAGAATGTGCTTGCATAAGTACTGGTCTTTGGTTCCATGATACTCATGTTTCTTCTGTTAAGTGATCATCATTTAAAGAGCAATCCTTCAATAATTTAACTTCGAAGTCCTCGGTAAATGAATTCTTTTGTTAATCTTATGTTTCCAAACTCTGCCTATATGTGGAGACGTGCACAGTTATTTATCTGGCTTTAGAGTTGAACCTCAAATAGTTTACTATATTGTGACTTGTTTTCCAAAGTTGAAAGTTATCCAACATTTTACCAGTAAGTCGAATCCTTGAGGTTATCTAGTCAAGTACTGATTGGTTTTGGGCAATTAAAATTTATGATCACTGAGAGTTATTCATTTTGCATTTCTCTTAATTTCAGGCCAGCGAGACAGTCCGTAGTGAGTATGACTTGAAGTGTAAATTCTTAAGACAGCTGGAGTCAAGGGCAGAGAGTTCAAGCAAAATTGACAAGACTCGAGCTGTTGTCAAGGATTTGCACTCAAGAATTAGAGTTGCAATTCAAAGAATTCACTCAATATCTAAAAGGATTGAGGATTTACGTGACAATGAGCTGCAGCCACAACTTGAGGAGTTGATAGAAGGGTATGTCTTCATCCACGATGTCTTATCTGCCATTTCAACCATATTTTTACGGGCCGGTAGCATCGATACTTTTACTTCATAAAATAGTCTATGCTTGTGCTTCTATCTCAAATACTCGTATTCTAAATTATCTGTTTCACCTATCCTTCCAACATAGGTTGAGTCGAATGTGGGAAGTAATGTCTGAATGCCATAGGCGTCAGTTTCAAATTATCTCAGTTGCATACAAGAATGGCACCATGAAAATCTCTTCACTGTCCGAATCACATCGGCCTATTACCGCTCATCTTGAACATGAACTAAGCTCTCTGTTTTCGAGTTTCACAAAGTGGATCGGTGCCCTGAAAGCTTATCTGAAAACCATAAACAGTTGGCTCGGGAAATGTGTTTCTATTCCACCAAAATTGAAGAGATCAAAGAGAAAAAACTTCAAAACCGAACTTCTGAGAGCACGCGGCCCTCCAATATACAAAACATGTGGTTCTTGGTATGACAAGCTTGATTCATTGGAGCCTTCTATTAAGCAAGTCTCTGACTCCATCAAACTATTGGCAGCCGATACGTCTGGCTTTTTGCCACACCAAGAAAAGAACGAAGGGAAGAATGCTGATCGTCCATATGCACCCCCAGGGAACAATGACAACAGTGATTCTGCTATCAATATGTCGAGAGAGGATGATGTAAAAGAGAACACGGAAATTAGTGATTCTACGTATAATATGTTCCGAGACGATGCTTTGAAGGATTCGTTTGGGACGAGCCTAGTTTTCTTTATTGGTCAATTGAAGAGTTTTGCCGAAGCATCTGTGAAGATGTATGCAGAACTTGACAGGGAAATTCGACAAGCCAAGCATTATTATGAATTGTATGTCAAAGGAGCCGAGGTCGGAAATGAAGAAAACAATGTTCAGAGCAACGATCAGAGCGATAACTAAAGCGGCAACCAAACCAGTGATCAATTGAAGGATCAACTGAAGCCAAGAGTAAACCTATGAATTCTGGAAAAGAAAGTTGAGCATTCATGACATTGTTTTTAAGAGAGATATCAGACGTGAGGCATTTACATAAAATGGCAGCATTTTGATATTGGAGATGGGAATAAAAGGGTATGTGATATATATCCTTGTGTCTACATTAAGTCAATAAAGAAATGATTTTGTAAAAGTGACCCCCAAAAATGGGGTGATAACAAATTTATCAAAAAAACTAAAACAAACTTGTATAGTCTATTTCTTACTCCTTTTTACCCAACAAAGGGTGTATTGTAGACATCAATTTTTGTATGTATGTTCGAGTAAGCGGATTAATTTATTAGGGTATTAGGTTGGCCCAGTTTTTATTTTGAGAAATACGGTAAATGCTATTATTTTGAGAAATACGGTAAATGCTACAGTGCACCTGAAACTCGTCATCTCGAGGTGAGGAGTTCGCTCGGATATTATTTTTAAATGGTCCTTGAGTGGTGGGTTTTACGTTGGTCATTATTTTATTGTCATTAAAATGACTCGTCAGGTGACGAGTCTCTTAAAAATTCATTTTTTTAAATTAAAAACATCGAAATAACTCGTTGCCAAGTGATGATTTCCTTCAAATTCAAAAAAAATTAGTTGTTGGTTAACGGGTAGATGAGTAATGATCACATGGGTAACGACCACTTGGAACTCGTCACCTCGAGGTGATGAGTTCAGTCGAAATTTTGAAAAAACTAATTGTTTATAGCCGTTGAGGGTAAGATTATAAATAAGGGTTGGGGGTTTTGGTTTTTCATTAAACCCTAAATCTAAAAAATATAAAAAAAATCATACGTTGTGTGAAAATCTCGAAAAATGGCAACCCGATAATATATGTTGCGCCTGGATAATGTCCATGTTTCGTCGATCTAATGCGGGTTGGAAGATGAATGGAATATTCGTAAGCGTGGGAGCCCATAAGAAGAGCTGCATCAACGAATGCTGATATATCTACAACAATCCGGTTTCTTTCCGACCATATTTGTACGTGACTTCAAGCGGTACCTGGCGTTGATTGAGGCTCTGGTCGAACGTTGGCGGCCTGAGACGCACACGTTCCATTTCCCGAGTGGTGAAGCGACGATTACTTTGGAAGACGCCGCTTATCAACTCGATGTTCTTGTGAATGAAGCCCTCGTGGTGAGTCAGAACATTTATGACCCCACAACGTTGGTCCACCAAGTTTTGGGAAAGATGGCGTCATCCGACTTCATCAAGGGTTATTGAGTACATATTACATGGTTGGGGATCAAATTCCAAGTGACGACCGACTCTACCGAGAATGAGGTTATTTTCGCGTCTCGAGTATATCTTCTCCTACTGATCGGAGGGGTCTTATTACTGGATAAATTCGGTAATTTGGCGCACACTCAATATCTGCGATATTTGGAAGACTTCGATGTATGCCGCAATACCAGTTGGGGCTCGACGATTTTACCATTTCTTTACCAGGAGCTTTGCAAGATTGCAATTGTCCAGTCGGGTCGAAAAGCTGACGTAGCAGGCTGTCTAATACTGCTACAGTCGTGGGTTTGGTATCAATTTCCTTTTTGACGCCAATTACAACAGCCCTGGTCGAGTTTTCACTAGTTGCAAGGTAATTGTTTAACTTCATTTGTTTAATCTTTTTTTTGAATTTTATAAATTTAATTATTTTTTATTTGTTTATAATTTTTTTTTATTTTTAAATATTTTAGATGACGTCATAAAATATCCGAGACGAAGTTGGTGGGTGCCACTGCATAAGATATACAGATGAGGATCGACATCGTCGGTCGATATGTGGTATGACATAGGATTTTTTTTTAAATTTTTTTAACTTTATATATACTAACTTTGATATTTAATATTTACAATTTTCTTTGTAATACCTCGAATCCCATGTCAATAGTTTGGGTTAACCCGAGACCCATAAGTCGAGTCCATTAGATATTCCACTACAGAAAAACAAGTATGTAGCGGCGTTTGGAAAGTAAACGCCACTAATTTTATACATATTGTGGTGTTTACAGTCAAAACGCCACAAAATGTTATATTTCTAAACGTACGACACTACAAACTTATACTTTACTGATATGTTTTTAACAAATGCCGCTATAGACTTGTACTAGTGGTATTTTTAAACAAATGTTGTTAAATATTCTATACTTTAGTGGTTTTTTTAAAACGCCTCAATTTGTTAGTGTATTAGTGGTGTTTTTAGTTTCAAATGCCACAATAGAAAATCGGTGCCTTGTTACAAGCACCAAGAAAATCGGCATTTTTGCAGAGAATTCAGTGGGGGATAGTCAGAATTTGATTCATAATATTTCTGAAAACCATTAAACACCCAATTCCTCGGTGTCTTGTTCTTCTAATGAAGACGAAAATTCGAACAAGTCTAAGAAAGGGTCTGAAGATCAAGGAGATGACAAGTCAAAGAAAGTGTGGGTTCTTCTTCTTTTTCTTTTCTTCTGGAAACTTTTGTTTCTGGTTTCTTCTTCTTTTTCTTTTCGTCTTTTCCTCGGTGTCTTTTTCTTTTCTTTTCATCGATTCTTCTTATGTTCTTCATATTTCTATTCCAAATCTCTTTTTTGTTTTTCCCCAGTTGAAGTAAACTCCTTGTTCATCATCATCATTCGTATCTTCCGTTTTATGGCTGTTTCCTAGCTTGCTGTTTGTGGTTTTACCAGGGTAATATGTTATACCCGTGCGCGTGAATTCAGTCTTGTTAGATGATCTTGTTTTACTCCAGGTAAAAGAAGAGGCACAACAACTTGCTCTTATATTCGAAACTGTTGGGGCTTTTAAGGTGAAGCGAAAAGGTGGCAAAGGAAAGAAAATTTTTGGAAGGTGTGTAGGATCTGAATCCACACCAAACGTTTCATATTTTAGTTTTTCACTTATCATATTTGACTCTGACATTCACTTGTTTTTTTTCTTTTTTTTTTCCCAGTGTTACCGCACAAGATCTTGTAGACATTATCAAGGCACAACTTCAAAGGTACCAATCATAAAATCTTTGTGGGATTTAGTTGTTAACAGGCATCATACCTCTGCAATTTATTCATGAAATGAATTTGCATTAAATAAGAATTCAAGCCTTTTGCCATAGTTTATGTATAGCGTTCTTAATGCAAATACGCAATCTGCATCTGCAGTTACAGCGAACAAATGAAGCTGACAGACTGATGCTTATATTTAGTTTGGTTCTGTCAACAATTATGCAATCATGAATCATTTGCATTTTGTTAGTGAATTGTGATATTCTGTAAGTTCTGGTATCACCCCTTTAGTAATGATGTTAACCTTGGTTTCTGTATATATTTATATGATCTATTTTAGCTTGCTTTTATTGTGATCTGAAGATGGTTAAAGTATTTAACCTTCTTGGTTTCCAATGTAGGCATTGGTGCTGGATTGGAGAGCATGACAACTGATGGTTTAGTTGCTGGGTTAGAGAAAGTAAATCCAAAAGTATGCCAATGTTTTCACCATTTAGGATATGTTTCACATTTGCAGCTTAATATGCAACTGCATTTATATTTATAGACAGAGAAGCTAAAGAATTTATGAACTTGTTTTACAATAAATGGGTTCATTTGGTGTCTTACAGTATGAATTTATCTTAATTGTTATTGATACAATAATATCATTTTGATTTTTGAACATGCAGCAATAAATGGGTTCATTTGATTCATGTGTGGTAGTGCTAGCTCTGTCTGGTTCTTACTGCAATCACTTTTATTTTAGCATAGAAGTACATGGTGTTTGCATGTTAAAGCCTTGCTTCACTTTTATGCTACCTACTGCAAATACTGAGTGTTCTGAGTTTGAGGTTCTTTCTTATAAGTCTAGGATGTTTTCATCTATTAAGATATTATATTACTGTGTGAGTTGAAAATGAGTTCTTGAACAGAATCATGCAGCTAACCTATTTTTTAGTAGATATACAGTGTGGAATTTTGAACTGTAAGATAATAAATAGCTTATTTAGGAGATGTTAAGACTGAAAAGATTATGGATTTCTAATGGCTGTTTCTTTGGTACTATAAGTATTCATAATTTCTAATGGTATTGAATGCTCTTCTTTTCTAGTATGTACTATCTGCAACCTTATCTTATTATATGGGAACAAAGTTATTTAAGAAAACTATTTGTTTTTAATATATATTGGGCATGAAGTTTTGACGATAAGTTGATAGATCACTTAATTGGAAGGTGTAATGTGAAAAATTATGTTTTAATTTGGTTGGTTGATGCAGGAACATCACATTAATTTAATAAAGTTTATTTTTCACGTTTCTTTACTTTAATCTATTTTCTTTATTATTATTTAAAGTGTTATGTAATTAGCATAGAACTCTTGGTAAGAGTTTTAGTATATCTATTCTACTAGAGTTTTAATACTGTTAGCAAGAGTGTTGATCTCAAAATGTTTCTCTCATCATGCAGGTATTTGTTTCATATCAAATGAAATGGTAAGAACTGTTTCAGGAACTTGCAGTCTCAGAATTTTCGAAGTGACAAATATTTTCTTGCTGTCCAATTCTTCAAAATATTTAGCGTACTTTTAATCTGGTCAAAGAAGTTGCAGTTTCACTGTAAGCAGCCCTAAATGAATTAGTCAAGACTCGAAATCTGCCCATCTTTTATTATACCTGTATTAGTCAAAGAAATGGCTTGATTTTTCTTGTTCTGCTCAGATAATCTTTAGATATGTCTGCGGGGAAGGCGGGTGGTTCAAGGAATTCATCATCGGTCCTAAAGTCTACCACGGTCGATGTAATCATAGAAGCAGAAAGAGCTACTTGTGTTGAGACACATAAACATTTATCTTGCGGATGATCCGTATTTAAAGCAGTTTCTTCTGCTGGATCCAGCTACGAATGACATTTTCGATCTTGCAAAAGATGGTGTACTTTTATGGTATTTTTATCTGTGCTCCATTATGTACGTGCTCTTTTCGGTTTTAATAAAAGCTGCTATGGAGCAATGACACCAGTTCTGTTCTTATGAACTTTTGAAGTAAGCTTATCAATATTTCTGTTCCCGGAACAAAACATGAACGAGCTATTAACACGAAAAAGAAACTTAGCATATGGGAGAGGAATGAGAACCATACCCTTGGTCTCAACTCCGCAAAGGCTATTGGTTGCACCGTGGTAAACATTGGTACCCAGGACAAAATTGAAGGAAAGGTTAGTA